GAACTTCATAAAGTTTGGGGCACCCCATTCCATGATGCCGTCAGGACTCATACTTGTACCCACACGACTAGGGTACATGGTCACTGGGGAGCACCTCAACAACAGAAATAGTGAGCAACACCTACACTCGACCGTGCATTCAACAGAATCACAGGGTGAAAGAGATCCTTGGGAAAGCCATTGGAATGTTTAGCCTCAAGCAGTAGAACAGGGATACGTTGGCCCAGAAAAAGAAGAAAAGGCTTGCATCAACGAGCAAGTACGGGAAAATTTCAAGAACACCATTGAAAAACGTGACATAGGATATGTTGTCATTTAAGGAGCCACATGTTCACTTACCAGACAAAAGAGCACTGGTATTACGTCGTCTAAGGAGCGTATTGCGTAAAGATGAAGAAGAATCAACATTCTCAAACAGTACCACGCCACGACGTATCCCAGGATCAGTTGAAGAAAGGGATCTTGAGGAAGTAGATGAAACAAGCGACATCTTTGGGAAACCAAGGCACTATCTTCCTCATCAGCCTGTCATCACTCCACAGAAAGATACCGCTAAATTCAGAGTTGTTTTTGATGCAACGGCACATTACAAGAACTGCTCGTCACTTAATGACGTGGTGCATCAAGGGCCTACCATACTCCCTAAACTTTATGGCATGCTTCTACGCTTCCGCTCTAAGAAATTCGTCCTACTATCGGATGTGGAGAAGGCATTCCCTCAAATGCATCTGCATGAAAAAGACAGAGACTTCACTTCATGCTTATGGCTCAACAATGTAATGAAGCCGCTGACAGAAGACAATCTAGTCGTCTACAGATTCAGGAGGGTCACTTTCGGTATCAATGCCTCACCATTTCTATTGAGTGCAACAATCCACTTTCATTTGAACAACCACGTAAAGGATAAAGCGCTCGCAATGAAATCGCATGCAACCTCTTTGTGACAATCTAATTGTTAGCGCAATTACAACAACGCAAGGAATACACAAATACAGATGTTTGAAGTCAATCTTCAATGACTTCAGAATGAATCTTAGAGCGTTTCTAAGCAACAACCCTGAAATCATGAAAGCTACAACATCTCCTGATCGATCTTCAAACACAGCACCCAAAGTACTTGGGATACCTTGGAACTCGATCACGGGCAAATTTTCGTTGTGCATAAACGTACAACGTGAAGAAATCATCAGCAAACGCACGATCGCACAACAAACTGCAGTCGTGTACGATCCATTCGGATGGTTCATCCCACTTTTCACCAAAGCAAAGCATTTGCAACAATTTCTCTGGAAACATCACTACGATTGGGACGAACCTTTGAACGAAAGGCACAAGCAACAGTGGGAAAATATTGTCCAAGACATAGCAGAATTCCTTAAGGAGTTGCCAAGAAAAATTACTCAGGATGACATGAAGTCGAATACAATGGTCACATATTCCGATGCCAGCGCGATTGCCATGAGAGCATCCACCTATCTAACTACGGAGGAGCCATCTCACTTTCTTATGGCAAAATCAGAAATATCAAACGTGAAGCATCCAACCACTACACCTAACATGGAACTAAACGCCATTGCAGTCGGTGTACGCCTAACATTCAACGTGTTTCTGAGCATGAAATCCTCACTGAACATTCCAAAGATCATGTTCTTAATGGATTCCGAGATAGCATTAAAATGGCTCCAAAGCAAAACAAATCGGGAGAAAACAGGACCATACGTCAATAACCGGATCAAAGAAGCTCGACAATTCACACAATCCCTTCTCGAAGAAGGAATTGAAGTAAAGTTCGGCTACATTGTCACAAAGTGGAATCGAGCGGATATTAGAACAAGAGGAACGTCTACTCAAGAATTTCCGTCACATATTTGGTGGAGCGGATATTCGCAAAATACCTTGAAAGAAAAATTTATATCCACCTTATTCTATCTCCCAGACGATCAAGAACAGAAAGAAAAGGAAGAAGATTATTCACCTTCTGTACAAGTAAGTGTCACGAAAATGGAGGAGATTCAAATCGAGGATATTCTTGACTTATCCAGATATAACAGGGAGTCAAAGTCTCTGAGAATCCTAGTCTATGTCATTCAATTCTTCAAAAGAATCAGTACTCGAATTGGAGATCCACTTCGGAACAAATTACGACCTGTATTACCTGGTAGGCACGAACGTAATGGAAGGCGACACTTAACTGCTTCAGACATCAAAGACGCTCACATCGTGCCGATAGGAAATCACCAAGCTGTGCACCTACATTCGCACTATAAGAAGGAAGTACTAAAGGATTTCAATATAAAAGAAGATCAGGAACACTTGTACAGAGCATACGGTCGTCTCAACAAATCAGATCTAGACAGCATGGCAAGGAATTCCATCATAATTGTGCCCAATACAGAGTTAGCCCGCCTCTTGCAATGGAAGCACATGGAAAGCACCATAATAGCACCGGACATACCATGGGAAAAGTACGACAACAATACTGGATACCAAGACTGCGGGAACAATAGAAAAGGTGGATACGCTCATGCGTTCCTTGCCAAAAGCTCAATAATCTACCCCATCGTTAACCGGAAATATCAGATCTTCCTGAAAAACGAGCAACAAGTTTATGGCCGTTCGAAAATATCGGACTAGATTACTTCGGTCCCATTACAGTCATTGACGGTGCAAGAAGCAGCACTGAAGTGTATGGATGCATATTTACTGTGCATGCGTTACTCGCCTTATACATATAGAAGTCGTAACAGATGGAACAACAGAGAAATTTCTGAACACATTCCGCGGATTCGTAGCTCGCCGAGGTAAACCCGATCAGTCACATGTGATAATGCACCAACATTCATTCTGGGAAGTGAGATTTTGAACGAGTCACTCGAAACAGATATCGAGGAGGACGAACTGTTCCGAAACATGAGCAACCAAGTAATCGAATGGAATTATATAACACCATACACACCGTGGAAAGGCGGATTTTATGAACGTCTCATTAAATCAATAAAAGAAGCTCTGATAAAAGCGACAGAAATACGCGCACTGACATTAGAGCAACTAATTACCTCCTTAGTCGAGATTGGAAGATGTCTCAATAGTAGACCTCTTACCAACCAAGAAAGTGACATCAAGGACAGTATAATACCCTTACGACCTATCGACTTCATACAAAACGCGATGAATGTCACCCTTACACTAAATGATTCAAAGGAGGAACACAGATCCAACCTACCTACCAGCGGTTGAAGGAATACATTTAGAAACACGTTTTCAAGCGCAAAAGGCACTGCGTTCATCTTGTGCGATAACAGAGTGCTTCTGGGAATTATGGAGAAACCGATATCCCACCGCTCTTCGTGAACAACATCGAAGAAACATAAACGACAAGCGAGAAAGAAGAAAGGACGTACAAGAAGGAGAGGTAGTACTTCTGAGTGAACGACATCAGAAGAGAAGCAACTGGAAGCTGGCGCGCATCTCCAAAACAGTTCGGAGCAGCGATGGAGCGATAAGAGAAGTAGAAGTCTACTGCAATGAAAGAACCCTTCGACGTCCAGTAAATCAGCTTGTACCCTTGGAGCTAGAAGAACAACCCCTCACTACTAGGTCAGAACACGAAGAATCGGTGATCAGAGCCTCAGGAATATGGAAAAGAGCTATAGTCTACGTCCTCGAAGAAGAGCACAACACAATGAAGATCACCCAAAAAGCAAAAATAATGTTCATTGTCTCACAGCTCAACATACATCGAGAACATGGCCAGCATCACTTTACTTGAAGATGGCCCCAACTTTGATTACACTGGCAATTGTAAGTGGACAAAAACCGAGCATGCAACGAAGTATCGAATCATCATCAACGAAGGCAGACTATACAATCGAATGTATGAAACATGGAGTTTTACTTCATGCACCAGAATCACACGGCTATAAATTATGCGCAAACAGCTACTGTATGGTGGAAAAAACACCTCCGATTAACAGGCTTCTAAGGTTACCACCGGAAGAGCTAATTCAGATTTCGATATACGCTGGAAACTAAAGACTGAGAACTCATATACAGTCGTAGAAACACATTGTCCGGCACAATTATTCTGCGCTGCTATCGACTGCACTATATGTTCGGCGAACATTCTGAATCCAAAGTGCTGGCCACTTGCAGCGGTAATGGGCCTAGGTATAACCCTGTACCCCCTAGTGGCCATACGTTACACAATTTGTTATGTACCGGTGACCCTTGGCCGACCCCTTCGCATTATATTGCAAGGGACTCAAAAAATAATATACCTAGCCCCAGCAGTTTTGGTCACATACATAAGCTGGTTAGTCACAATCTTTCATAAAGGACGACGACAACGGCTTTCGAGAATTATGGAAGCGTTAGCAATTCTAACATTGGCTTGCCGATCACTGGTGTGCCGAGAAGTGAACATTTTTCATAGGGAAGGTTTACGACTACTTTGCAACCGAGAACCTTTACTGTATACAAGGAATGTGATCCAAAAGGTTGTCGATAGCAAACGATGTTCAAGTAAAGGATCATGCACAAAAAACAAATGCGCAGATATAAACGCGACGAGTTTACTAGCCGAATTGGGGATCGGCAACAAGTTTCCGCGCATCACATATTGCATGGAGTCATGCGGTGGACCAGGCTGCGGTTGCTTCCACTGGGATTCTGGCTGCATACTTTACAGGATATATGCAATTCCGAAAGACGATATAGTATACAAACTATACAAGTGCATCGGATGGGAGGAGGAAGTAAAACTTCGTTTTGAATTCAACGTAGGGACAAAACTCCAAACCTAAGTTGTGGGACTTCGACCAAATATTCCAACACGCATCCGAAATCTCGAATTGACGTTAAGTGTACTATCCATCCCACCACTTTAAGCTCTTGCGCAAGTTTTCATAGGATCGAGGAACCACACAGCTATTCAGGGTAAGGAAAAGCATCCGATACTTGACTGCCCATAACCCGGAAATGCTCAATCACTACAGTGCAATATGCGAACTGACCGTGAGTGTTCACCGGCTGAAAACCAAGTGGTATGTAGATGCGAAGAAGACGATGTCGGAAAAGCATTTTTGATTATAGAACAAGTATTACCGTTTATTCATCAACAAGTGCATTTCTCACAGCATCCCCATCACGCAGTCATAGCGAAGGTGGAACAAGACGTAACAGCGGAGATAACACTCAATTTGAAAGAAGCAGTCACTAACGTGAGAACGGAAAATGAGGACGACATCTGTTTCATTGAGAATACAGATCTCACTGGATGCTATAAGTGCAACAAGGGAGCGAGAGCAGTAGTGATATGTAAATCAAATTTCAACATTGTTCTGCTGAAGTCGAATGTGGCAAAGACAGTTTTACGATTCCTTGCTCTCCTTCTGGACAAAAATCTCAACTCAACTTCCTTTTCGACCCAGCAAGAGTCCATATCCTGTGTTCTGTAAGGTGTGGATTGACTCCAAAACAGTTTGAAGTAAGCGGTGTATTAAAATATGTGCATAATATCTAGGGTGGAGTAAAATACTTAGAGCAACATCATAATATAACCTCTTTCAGTATTTTCTCCCTCGGCATTTTCTCTCAAATCCATTGGTCCAACATCAACCACATAGTGGACATCTACTTGCAGTAGTATAAAACCTTAATAATAACCATTGCCACGGTAGCAAGAGCACTTTTTTGAGCTACATATATCTTTCAACAGTATGCCGTAAAATTATCTCATGGTGCATAAAAAGCGTATGGAAGCTCATAAAATTTGAATACAATCTGCTCCAGCTCTTCTTGAAATTCATTCTAAAGTTGATGTTCTTTTGTAATCACAGAGCAACTGAAAAGAAGTCAGAGAAAATCCTCTGAAAGCATGCACACGCGCATCCAACCTCTGAAAGAATACACACGCGCATTCAATAACTTTTCTTACTATTCATATCACTCAAATCGTTTCAGAACGAAATCCTCATCAGAACGGTACGACGAATACACTAAAGAAAGCCAAGTCAAAGAACGAAAGCTGATCGAAGAAATCAGATACAAGCGTTCCTGCATCAAGTTGGCACCACGCTTCCGTCTGAAGAAGACATCCAAAAACGATATGTAGATTCGTTAATTCAATTGTATATATTGTAACCTCTAACACTCTTTCTGAGCAATTCGCTGAAATACGTGGATCTCGGTCCAAATTTTTTGCGAGCATGGAGGCGGCACTCTACAGGAGCCGTCTACAAAAAAGTTCGTAATACCTTGGATAGCATTCAAAGTGCTTATGAAGCATTATCTATAGCTTACGAAGTCTACGGACTTCTCGTTCTGTCAGACGAATCACTCGCGATTTCTCGCGTGTGTTTTTATGACAAGAGGGAACAAGGTATGACCTTACCAGGGAAGGATCCCAAGTCGAAATGGCCTTTTGATATGAGACCTACACTGCTGGACGTGTTTTTGGATGATGAGTTCAAATCTGCTTTCCAAGTTTGCCGAGCGTTTCTGTGAACGGAGTTATGAGGGTGGTTTCAGGGAGCTTAACATAAGAAAACTTAAATTACATGGATGCGCCTTTAAGCGGTAAGGTAAGCGCGACGCTTCATGTGCGGGAGACTAGGGTTCGGGTTTTGTGGAGGACGGAATTTTTGCAGTATATAGAATTTTTCCCTCAAGGACTAGAAACTACTGTCATGGTGATTTTATCACGTTCTATGAAGTCTTAGTGCTTTGCCGATGCCTTCTCCTCCCTACCTCCCTGTTACCGAGTAGGAGATTCTTCCGTGCGCAAAATTTGGAGCTTCGGGCGAGAACAAGGCATATGACGAGCAATGATGATGCTAAAGTGGGAGTTGGTGCTAGATTGGGTGCGATGGTGCGTAGCAGCTCCGGACCCACCAACACCGGCACTGTTGACAATGGACTCGTGGATATCATTCACAGACCAGAAAGCTATTCAGTGCGTCCTACCTCCAAAAAAACAGGTAAAGGGAATGGCAGTCTTCTCGAGGCTTCCACGAGGCTAATACAGCCAACAGAAGCCTCTTTAAACCATCCTTTTGAAAACATGGTTAAACGCACCACCTCATATGTAATAGCTCATGATCTCAACTTTTGCGTGTACACACGAAACCCCATTTCCACTTACTATCGCTTATCTACCTTTAGTTCTGTGCTGTTAGATCTAGGAAGTTGCCTTTTGTTCATGGTATGGTGCCGGCTACTTGAATACTCACCGGGGTGATTTGGGGACGCCTACACAATTCTGTTTCCCTTCTGATTTGGGGTTAGTTACTGTGAGGCAATGGGCTGTGACGAGTTCTTTTTCATCCCTCGTTCCCATTGTGGGAAGTTCTTTGTTACAAGTATTTCGTGATAGAGTATCACATGGTCATTCAAGTGACAAGAGTTGTCCTACTGTGATCCTAGAGTGAATGGGCATGCGAGTAAAACTGAAGTATTACTTCATGTGAATAAATATCAGCAAAGCACTAAGTCTTCATAGAACGTGATAAAATCACCATGACAGTAGTTTCTANTGCAAAAATTCCGTCCTCCACAAAACCCGAACCCTAGTCTCCCGCACATGAAGCGTCGCGCTTACCTTACCGCTTAAAGGCGCATCCATGTAATTTAAGTTTTCTTATGTTAAGCTCCCTGAAACCACCCTCATAACCCCGTTCACAGAAACGCTCGGCAAACTTGGAAAGCAGATTTGAACTCATCATCCAAAAACACGTCCAGCAGTGTAGGTCTCATTTCAAATGGCCACTTCGACTTGGGATCCTTCCCTGGTTAGACCCAGCATTTACAGCGGATTTCGTTCGCAAAGAGGTGGACTTAGAGCATCAAATACAAAGCGAAATAAGAGATGCGGAGCCCCAAGAAGAAAGCGAAACCCACGAAAATGCACGGATCCAAGTCAAGGAAATGGTCACCAGCATACAGAAAGATATAGGAGAGCTGACGCAGAAGATCATCAGTCAAGACGAAGCAATCAAGAGCATCTCAGGAAGGCTTGGTTCCTTCTGGATCCCCGCGGCAAATCGAGAGCATGTCCCTGACTTGGACCCTGTGGTTCGAGCGGAAAAGGAGCAAAGTGAACACAAAAAGGAGAGAGAGGAGCACCTTTAGAGCACCAAATTGAGTCTCTCCGAGACAACGAAGCATCCGAAACTCAAGGAAAGGAGATAGAACCAGAAGAAAATCTAGATCTCATGAACGACAACGATCTCGAACTCTATAACGAACCCGAGGATGTGGAGCTGAGAAGACCCACAGAATATCCCGGCCACTTCCAAAGGCTTGAACTCGAAGCACGCATAACAGAGCTGTGGGCATGCCTGAGGAGCAATCGAGACGTTCCTGAGCGGAAATACCGTGAGACCGACTTAATGAGGGAGCACGACCGTTATCTCATCTGCTCATTCTGTTTGGCAAAGGGACAGCACTACTCAGATGGCTGTCCAGTGTACAACAGCGTAGAAAGAAGAAACCTAGTCAAATGCACATTATGCCTAGACACTCGACATTATAAAGTTTGGTGTCCGAAACAGACAAGAAAATGCATGTATTGCGGATCGGAAAGCCACGACAAAGCTCTATGCACCCTCTCAGAAAGAGTGCAGGGCCCCTACAAGGAGTTGGACGAGATCGGACGTGAATTGGAAACCCACGAAGGACAGCTGCTCATTTTGGAATTTCCCACCACCGTGGAAAATTCCAAAATGAGCAACTGTCGTCCGGGAGCAGAGCATGAGGAGAACATAGGCGCAGTTCCCATGCGTTCCAGCTCAGACCCGCGACCGTGATAACCCGAGCATACCGAATGTCGGTATATAAATGGACAGAGCATCAGGAAGCATTCCACTCTTCCCTCTCAACTCTCAAGATCCTTTTCTCATTTCTTTCGATTGTTCTAAAGCATTGTAAGTATTGTGTTGGTTTGAATTGATGGAGCATATCTTCGGTTTCCTCAATACTTAGATCATCAATAGAGCATTTATTCACACTTAGTATTTTAGAGCACTTATTCACATTTAGTATTCCAGAGATTCTAATGCATCAGTCACTTAGCATATTTTACCATTGTGCTCAATAACATTGTGCTTCATTTCTTTACACTTATGCTTTGATTCACTTATACTCTCAGTGAGATTTAGTGCCTTGATCTCGTTAGTGCTGGACTGATTTATTGGTTATTACAGTTTAATCACCCAAGTTTGAGAGTGCATCACAGTACCACACGCTCATTCAGCCTGTCAAATGTCAAATTGGACCTAGACCGCTAAGATTTGGTAGGAGTACCGAGGCAAGATGGGAACACTGTTAGTAGGTGACGAACTACCATGCCCTTCCAGTCCTCTATCAGGTTCCGTGTTCCGAAAAGCATCATTCGTTCCAGAGAGGGAGCGGGCAGCTTGCCAACTATTACAACTCCATCATAAGGAGGGAACCCCGGCGTTGATCTGGCGAACCGACCCTTTCACTTAACGATCCACACAGACTAAAAGTGCTCATAATTCTCCCGTCAAAAGGAGAAACGCTTTAGGTTCCAGAAACGACATCGACAACAGGGAAGCATAGCACAACTGTCGAAAACACCATTCACACAAGCGAGTGGTAGAGTCAGGATTGCCGTTCCTGTTCCTGATTACTTTGCTGTTCACTGTACCCAAAATCAGCACGCGGTAGATAACGTGCGATACATTTATTATGCACTATTTGAGCTGTGGCGCGGACGCGAGCGTAATAAGTTAGCGATTTCGAAAAGTAGCACCTGAATTGGGCTCAGTAATTGTAACACCCGTGACTACAGATACGCAATGTCGCAAAACATGAAGGTCAAAAATTTTTGCTAGTTTTCGCGTGATTTAGGACCACGCCATCCAGCTTTTGAAATTTTCTTTTGGTCTCAACAGAATGATCGCGTTGGAACCAGAGCACAAATTTTGATTTTCCCGATGCCTCGTTGACGAAAGACGCCCACTCTCTTCGCTGAAGTCACCCTATATAGCATTTTCCAGCTCATTACTGCGCCAACGACAGGCGTCTTCCGTTCTCCTTCTGCCTGGCGACAATCCCGCTCAGTCGCAGGGCTCGCTGTTCTCGTGAGTGATCGTCACTTCTTCTTATCTACGGCATCTTCTGCTGTTTACTTGTTTTCAGAAAGGTCTTCTTAAAAATGTCCCTCTGCCTCTTCTTTGGTACTCCACATGGTCGCCTTCCTTCCGCTTCGACTCCACTGCCTTTCTGAGAGGCACAGTTTACGATATACCAGTTTGGCTATGCACGCTAACGCGTGCAGTATATGCCTATAGTAACTTATCCACGATGGAGTCATTCAGCGGAATTTTGGACAATCAGAATAAGATTATTCTCTCTAGATTCGAACGCTGAATTGCTGAGAGCATCACGCTCGATATATTTGAGCAGAGTTATTAGTGGTTGATCACAGCTCCGTCCACCTTAGCGCAAATACTTCCCTTTATAAACTTGACCACCCTTCTTTTGATTGCCCTTGACCATCTTTTTCCGCATCCTAGAAAGTTTTCAAAGGGATGTATTTTCGGTCCTGACCCCACTTTTCTGTGCCTGCTCCGCCCACTTCGGTGCCAACCCCGCCCACTTCGAGAATTTGGCCACATTTGTTCCATTACCTCTTACCACTTTTTTCCCGCTTTCTAGAACGTTTCTGAGCAGAGTTATGAGATTTTGATCTTAGCCCCGCTCACTTTAGTGCCAACCCCGCCCACTTCGGGTATTTGACCGCATTTGTGCCATTACCTCTATCCACTTTTTTCCCGCATTCTAGAACGTTTCCGAACGAAGTTACACTCATTTTCGAAAAGTAGCTTTCACCTCAACGCACGCCCCGCCCATCGTGGGCGGAGCTTCACTAAGCTTACGCATGCCCAGCACGCATAAGGCCTTGCTCACTCTTTTTATTTTTTTCCTGGCCACGACGCCCTCGCTGAATCGAGTTATAAATCTCTGTGGTAAGTACCGCCCACTGCGAGAACGCCCCGACCACCACTGCTAAGTTCCCTTCTTTTAATTGTTGACCCATCCCACCACCTTTGCACATTTTTCCCCGGCGTCTGGAGTATTTTGTGACGGAATGAGAAGAATTTGCCCATCACCCCGCCCAATTCCAGCACATGCCCCGCCCCTTGGGGCGGAGCTCCGCTATGCTCACATGTGCTCTGTTGCGCTTACCCTATGCTCAACCCATTCCAAACTTGATCCGACTTCTCCAGGTGTTTCTTCATGCTATATCGAATTTCCGTACAAACAAACAAACAAACAAACAGAGCGCCTTATATATAGTAAGGAAAGCTACTAAGATGTTCCTTAGTATAAATTTTTGGCCTCCTCCTATATCATATGTGGCCGGTAGAAAGGCCACATATGATACAGGAGGCCAAAGATTGTCCCCCTCCTATACCATAGCGACAGTAGAAGGGTGAGCCAATTTTTGTCCAATTGTAATTACTTCACACCTTCCTCGCCCATCCACTCACTCGCCTGGGGAGAGACCTCCCTTAATTGCATGGCTGGTGACTTCTCTATCAGACAACTAGCCTCACGTCTAACAATATCGATTGTGTGAGTGAGAAAATTCGTTACATTGAAAGCATGAGAAATAAAATAGAGCAAAACAAAAAAAATCACCTCTGTACTGTGTTTGTCATCGCATGAGCACGATGTCTGACTTGTACTACTCCGAATTCGACCGCAGCGCCTTCTCCGGCTTCAACTCATGATTAGGTGCTCCTGTTGTTTCTTCTTATTTCTGCGAATCCCTATATTTAGCTAGCCCACCACAGTACACTGTACCACCTTTATTTCATTTACATTCAGCACCCGCCAGCACTGTGAGCTCTGTGAACCAGAACCTTACATTTTCCGAGACCCTAGGGGCAGCTACGGCTACTATGAATCCGGGGCACACGAAGTGCCTACATATGTTGGCGAAAGGCAGGTAAGCAAAAGTGGGAAGCATGACATACAGATATACCGGATTCCAGACACAACACGTTATCTAACGTTCTACCGAAAGTACGTAGGCAAAAACTATTTTAAAATGTGTAATAATAATAATAACAATAAATATTATTAATAATACTATTATTAATAATAACACAATAATAAAGACTTCAATCCATAAAATCAATATCAGTGCACTGAGAGTGCCAGAAAGGTCACCACCCAACCAATTAAGGGAGGTCACCCCTCAGGCGAGTGGCGGATGGGCGAGAAAGGTGCAAAGTAATTACAATTGGACACAACTACCGACTCCCCCTCCTATATCATATGTGGCCGGTAGAAAGGCCACATATGTGGCCGGTAGGAAGGCCACATATGATATAGAAGGCCAAAGATTGTCCCCCTCCTGTACCATAGCGACAGTAGAAAGCAGTTCTGAACAGTTTTGTAATAATGTGGTCAGCTCTTTGCACAACTACAAGAAATGAAATCTCGTCCGAGTATCCCTTCCACCTCATTTCTGCCATGAGTACAACCTCCACTTTCAACACCTTTGGGGAGCTTTCTTGCGAAGTCGAAGGATTCCAGTTTTTTCGCCATCGATGCACTATACCCAACCAATACTTCCGCTTTTCGACTAGAAGGTCACCTTAAAATCATCGTTAAGTGTGCTTTTAATGCGTAATACTGTGACCTTCGCAGCACGTGCCCATACCATCGCAGACGCTGCTCGCTCAATTTAGCTGGACAGGAGGTGTTTGCATGACCGTCCTGGAGTCCTCATTCCTGGCCTGGCCCAGTCGAGTCCAGCCGCAGGTCCATCTGAGCATCCTCATCTTCACGGAGTGAGGCTATCTTCCATGCTCTTCACTTACAAGGCAGCACTCGCTGCTGTAGAGCATCGTGGGCCTAACCGCTATCCGATACACGTTACATCTGAACGTAATGGAGCAGCATCAGTCGCAAAGTATGACATGGATTACTACCTAGTCCGCGCTACCTTAGACGGCCAGGTCACTTCTTAGATATCGGAAGTTGTGTATCCCTTTAATGGCTTTTCTAAGACCGTCTGCGATTGGCTTTGTTGACTTGTCGGAGCTGAGTAACTCGGTCTTCTTCACGTTCAGTCAGAGCCCACTCTCCGCGCCCATTTTCTGCCATTTCTGCAACTTGTCTTGGAGTTCTTTATGCTTTCCGTTATGGGAGCGATGTCTTCAGCATAGATGATGTCTTCAGTGAATAATCAATAGGTTCTTTTGTGATGATGTCCATTGTGAACAGAGAGAGGCTCACAGCTGATCCATGATGTTCCCCAACTGTAAAGTCAATTGCCTTCGTTAGGCCGTGAGTATCGCGCGTAGTTATTTAAGACCGATCATACATGTCTCTGACCAGGGAGACTAGGTATTCTAGAACGTTTCGTTCTCGAGAGCTCTCTAGAGGCTGGTCGCGACAAGCGGTCGAAAGCCTTCTCCAAATCGAGGGAGACCAGGAAGTAGGGTCTACGCTTCTCTATACTCCATACTTCTCCACCAGTTGTCTAGCTATGAAGATGTTCGTTGAAGAACCCTGTAGCATGAAGCCCAACGGCTCCTGTAAGATTGGACCAGTTCCCTCAGTCTTGAGTCGGCTAGTCGCTCGTATAGCTTCATGGTTGAAACACTCTAACGCATCCCCTTTTTGCTTGAAGATGGGGACGATGGTACTTTTCTTCCACCGCATATTGGTATTCTCTCTTTAGCGGCCACGAAACTCAGGAACCAAGTGAGCCCTCGATCCCATGCCCACCGAGTGCCTTTTATGCTTCAGTTGGGACCGCATCCGAATCAATTGCTTTCCCTGCCTTCATTTTTTATATTGCTCGACTGCCATCATCTTCTGTCCACAGTGAAATGGGAATAACCGTCGCACTTACCTGGGTACTGTACTCACGGTGGAAGTCTTTGTCTAGGAGCATATCGAAGTAACTTTTCTCATAGGCCTGAACTCACCAGCCTTCTCAGCACTGAGCCGTCGTTGCCCTTTTTAGCTCTTACTACTGTGCTGACGGTTCAGTGTATTTTATATACTCCGTTTAATTCGGAGTAGAATAGAACAAGTAAATTGTGAGCGCGGACGTTACCGCTAGTAAAGAACAGAAGAATAGCAAATAAGGCTTTATCTAAGTACAAAACCTACGTCTCGCCCTTAACGTTGTTCGAGATAGAATGAGGGACCCACTTATCTCAGGGCCGTTTGACCCCGCACCTTTTACGGGCGCGGGTTAAGCTAGAGGGAGTCGTCTCAGACAGTGAGACGACGAGATAGTTATGGTGAGGTGATCGTCGCCTTAGACGACGATGCATACAACTACTGTGATGTCTTGAGTAGTCCGGTGCCATGCTGTGGACAGTCGAGAGACTTACTTCCCCCTTCACGAACATCGGGGTTTTTGTACAGAGCGTTCAGTTCCGTACTCTTCACCTCTGCTTCTCCAGCCCTGGCGAGCCTCTTGCAGATTTTGTAGGTGACCAGGTCCTCTGCAGTCTCGCCTTTTATCAACGCTTGCATGCGTCTTACTGTGTTAAAGCCCGCTGGACTTCACTGTTCCAAAACAACGCTGCCATGCCACTCTTAAGTTCACCTCGTATCTGCCCCAGCGTTTTCCATTCACATAGTAGGATGACTTCCACAGCTTTGCCTCCAGTCTGCTGAGTCGGTTTTTGAGTATCTAGGAGGCTAACTTCAAGGATCTTCCTTTGAAATGTTCCTTTTCTTTTAGGTGCAGCTTCCACAACGACAGGCATTCCACATATATCTTTGATAGCCTTGCAAGACTTATGAATTTCTGGTTCGAATTCTACTTTCTGGTTGCGCACCTATTCACCACAAATATTTGACCTCTATTTGTCCTAGAACGTTTCTGAACAGGCTTGTGCATTTTCGTAATAAGCAAGCTCCGGAAGAAGGCACACTCCGTCCACTGTAAGTGAATCTTGCTCAGTTTACCGTTTGAGCACACCTTAGACCTTGCTCCTTCTTGATAATTTCTTCTATTCTGTAGGCTGCTTTGGAAAGGATAGATGAATGCTTGTCGCAAGCCTAGCCCTTGTG